TTTTTTTTTTTTTTTTCTTTTCTCGTTAAATTTTTATCTTTTTCCTTTTTTTTTTTTGAAATTTTTGTTCTTGATAGGTGTTCCAGCAATTCATTTAGGAAAAAGCAAAACCACTCTTACTGTTCAAAATGACAATCCAATCTGTTTTTATAATAGCTTGAAAATACGTCTGAACCTCAGCAGAGGCCAGACAATTCTCCCTTCTATCTTAGAAACAAAAAAGCAGACAGACTTCTCATCCCTGCTCAATTCTTCTCTTCTTCTTTCCGTTGCTCTCTATAGCGGCTTGCCGCTACTCTCGCAAAATCCCGCAAGATCATGCGATTTTGCCTGTTCTTGTAAAAGCAAACAAAAAACAAAAAAGAATGCCGCAAAATCACATGATTTTGCCTATCTTAATGAAAGGGGAAAAGAAGAAAAGAACAAAACAATTATATCCCGCAAGATCATGCGATTTATAAACGGTACCACAAAATCACACGATTTTGCCTAACGGCATGCCGTTATTGCGATACTTGCGGTTGACACGGATCGACAGACACCCTACCCAAGGTTTGTTCGCGGCCGTTACAAATTTAGTATACTCTATATTATAAGTGATGTCAGGTAAAAATATTGTTATTTTGAGAATTTCGCGACAACAATCGATAAGTAATACCGTTTCGGATTTGCATATTGGCGTGAAAACAATGAATTGCAAGACTTATTGGACAAAAACCTAGCTCAAATTCACCAAAAAACTTTCGAACAGCTTTGCAATTGATGAATCAACTATTTCTAGACGTTTACATACAATGGAAAAAACCCGAAAGAGGGAAAATGACGATACAAATTGAATAAAAATGTCATTTCGAACTTGTTCAACTTTACGGTTTCAATGCTTGCGAGGCAAAAAACTAAGAGTTTTCTGTGGCATATTGTGACTGGCGATGAAAAGAGTGTCCACTGCAGTAATCTCCAGCGCAAGAATTCATGGGTTAGTCGAGGAAAGCCATCGACATAGACAGCGATGCGGAATATTCATGGCTACAAAGTTTTCTTGGTAAAACCGAATGAAGCTGTTACTGCAGATGTCTACCGACGTCAATTGAACAAACTGAACCATGTATTCTTGCAAAAAAGACCAGCGATAGCGGTTAACAGACGCAAAGTCATCATGCATGCCAATACTTGGCCACACATTGTAACATCTATCAAGGATACACCGTTGCAGCGCGTATGGGAAGTTCTGCCGCGCTCATAGCTCACATAGCGCCTCCTGGAAAAATTATGGAAAATATATGTGCACGTTTACATAAAAGTTCTAAAATCAAGAAATTTTGGACATTTTTGGCCCCAAGGTCAGGTTCAGTCCAAAATTTTTAATAAAAACTGTAGAACTGTGGAAGTATTCTACTCCAATAATGCTTTGAAAATAGAGACATCAAAGACTTATCGGTAGCGATAAACCTAAAAATGGCTACACCAAGCGTAAGAAAACAAAGGGAAGCGTCATAAAATATGTTAATCCTGTGACAGCAAAAAATATTGCTAAGGAAAACACTTTCGTAGTTATATATACACATACATGGCTATGTTTTTTTTTTATATTTTAAACGTAATTCTCAAATTAGTTATTTCGCTTAATTATATTTTCTTTTTATATGGTAACAAATTTTTATTTTTAGTATTTTACGCATAGTAGTTAGCATAAATAGGCGCGCTTATTTCTCTTCAGTTTTAAGCAAATTTCTCGTTCTAACATAAAAGTAACTGATGTAAATTTCGAGAAAAAAATAGAAAACATCCACAGGCTTATGTAAAAATCTGTAATAAAAAAATGTGGCAAGGAGGGAGCCACTACTTCTTTAAATACATTTAACTCAATTCAAATCCAACTCCCGATTGAATGGCATATAAAAGTTTTTCACGCATTTGTTCGACCGATTTGAAAGGTGGTAATTTGAGTAAATTTGTACAAGTACTAGCCGTAGGCAAACGTTCCATATCACCAGCATTTTGTATGAAAAACGGAGGATCCAAGTCCTGTTCAAACAAGGCAATTTTCAGTTAAAAAAAGAAACTACAGAAATAGTATCGCAACAAACTGACCTTGAAGCCAAGCAGCGGCGGTCTTGAGCAACTAGTGACAAATTTTAGCAACTGCCGCTTTTGCATATCATCAAAACTTTCTATAGCGCACCAAAATGCCACAATTGAAGGATGTTCTGGGTTGTAATCGCCGCCATATTTACAATTTCTTTTAAGATCTTCCAAGTCGATAGGAATTTCTGCGCCCGATATTAATATTTGAAGTTCTTTATTACTAAACATATACAACCATTCCACAGGCAAAACATTAGAAAGACCTTTTCGGAAAGCCACACAGTGCCGACGAATTTGAACATTTAGTTTATAGTCGGCCATTAATTGGAGATATTCAATGCGATTTGAATTCGTCACGGATATGCTTTGACCTTGTGATTTTAGTTCCAATACTTGTGTCTGACCCAAGGAGCTACTTGCTACCGTAAAATCCAAATTTAATTCGGCAACGTCGCCTTCGTAATCTTTGAGATAAAGCAGATTTTTGTACAACTCTGGATCCAAAGATGCTAGCTGATGAATATCAACATCAGCATATTTGCCCGCCAATTTCGTAAGAAAAAATTCCGCCAGCGGCAGTTCAACCAAGAGGTTTTCATATATGGCTTTTCCTAGAATTCTCCCGATAAAATAGTAATGTTTTTCAAAGTCCACCAACAAATCCCCCACGTTCGGATTTGGATACAATTTGTTATCTGTCGTGACCCTGAAAATTTCAACGTATCCATGATTAATTATTAATAATAATATTACAAAACTTACATAAAAAATCCCCGATTTGGATCAAAAGCGGTCTTAATTAACTCTGAAAGAAATTCGCGAAATACTCCACCACCATCTATGCCAGCTTCATCCAAACCCAAAGAGGACACGAACTGAATACGAAATTTTAAACGCAAATCGGGTTCTATTTGAAAACTTCACCCGTTATTGCAAATTTGGGAAACAACATGTTTTCAAAATTACCATTTTCTGGCCTTAATTTATCGTAAGCATCTTCATACAAATGAGTTCTTCTCACTGTCAACATTATCGAAGGACCTTGTAGAAAAGCTTGCAAATGTCCCTGGATCCTCATTTTATCTGCAGCCACAAGACCTTGCAAGATATTAACGCGTTTACTGAAAGCTACCACAAATGGTATTTCACGCAGTATAGTAATAGATCTGATTTGCTTGGTAGACATGGGAGGGCCGTTTTCAAAATCCTCACGAGTAAAATCTCTTATAGGCTGAAATGGTCTTATGCCCCGAATACGACTACTTATGCCGCGCGTCAAAGGCAAATCGCTAGGCCGATCCAATGGTAAATCCAGACGGCCCACGGTCCAATGAGACTCTGGACAAAAGCCTAAACGCAAATCGCGAGTGTGAATTTGGTTTAACACGAATACAACCACCTTTAGTAAATTCGACCATATTAGCTTTTGCTGTTTCATTTGTTTGTCATCTGAGTCGGAACGACCTAACACAAAACGATAGTGCTGATTTAGTGTAGATCGCGTCTCTGGAAAGGCTAATTCCACCAGACCTAATGATACTTCTTTTAAAGTCTTTGATAATTGAACAATTTCAGCAAGAGTAAATGGCATCAAGCGAACGTGTAAAGTGGGTTGCAATGGCTTTTCGATCAGCAACTTTTCGTCGCAAAATTCAATATCATGTAAAGTTGGCAGGAGACGACCAAACAACATACAAAAAGTTGCTAGTAACGAGACAAACGATGAGACATTGGGCACTTTTGCTGTATAAAAGAACGCAATTAAAATGGCATCAATTCTTACAAGGACAATATAAGTACGACTTACGAACGACGCCTTTTGATATCAGTATCAGCGGTGCGTTAAAACCCTGCTGCTGCGACTGAGCTACCAACGTAAACCAAACAGCCCGTATGAAATTTGGCATAAATGCGAGGGTATACAAGAGTCTGAAAGGATATCCGATATATTCGCGTTATAGTAAATAGCATTTGTCTCGCCTACTTGTACTCGAATATCGCAGTTTTATTGTATATCATAAGATTATGGCAAATTTCACACAGTCCTTGGAGGACGCCGTCATCCTTGAGATAGTTTTCAATATTATCAGCAATTGTCTGAACTCGTTGATTGTCATTTAGCATTTCAACGGATTTCAACAAATTTTGCTTTTCGCTCTCAGTAAGTAGCACAGTAGTTGAAGTATTAACTACGTACATTGCTTGCAAAGGGCGTTGATTTGTGTAAATACTTTCTTCATCGTCGGATTCTTCGGTTGATGAATCTTCGATATCATTAGCTTGATGATTTATACGCTTAAGCGAACATTTCGGAAGCCGGAGGATCATTGGAGAAACGTGACCAATAATTTTGATATAGTCACCAAGTATTGACTTGGCATGAAGAGATTCTAGAATAACATATATGCTAAGTAAGAAAAGAAAGTGGTGAAGAGTTCATACAACTTACTCAAATGTTTGCGATCCAAAATTAGAAGTGAATGCAGCAGGAAACAGGTATATATTTTGGCGAAATCTTTTGTGTTAGTCTGACCAAATGATGTGCGACATTTCCCAGATAATGTAACCGAGAAGTTGGCCCCAAATGTGGATGTTGGGTCGCTATCCTTATTTATTTCCTCTGTTTGCTCAACGGGGATCCACTGTGCTAGTGATTTTATCAGATATTCAAATGGGAATTCCGGGCATTCAGCCAAACATGGAATGATGAAGTATTGAATAGGTTCACTATATATTGAGGAGAGCACATGCTTCGAAAACGATCGGTATACCGTCTCTCCAAAAGAAAAAAAACACGAACGGTTCACTAACAGGAGTGGTCTCAGCATAAGCTGAAATATTGCCTCCGAAAAGTGATTAGGTGGATGTAAGGTTTCCCCATCTAAGGGTGGACATTTTTGTTCCAACAGTTGTCGCAGACGGAAATAGTAATCTCGTTCTACTAAAAATCGAAATATACAATCCAAATAGATGAGTACTAATTTATCATTTTCGATGTATCGTTCAATCGATGTCTCTGCAGTAAACGTCTCCAACATTCGCAATGGTATAGCTTGAGATGCATGTGCTACTGCAAGCTGCGATATGCATAAGTCCAAAAGTTTTTTAAGACGATGAAGCCAAACGTATTCGCTAACACAATTTTGCAATAGGCGAGCAGGACTGCGTAGAATGTGCTGACAGATCTCAATCTGAAAGCATAACACGTTAAAAAAGAAAGGATTTGAATGGCTATGCGTACCAAACGCTCTTCGTCTCGTGCCTCTTTGGCGTTGTAAAAAAATACAATTCTCCTGAGCAGAAAAGCCAAATTTTCCTCTTCCATTAATTTATCGCGATGCGAACGTAGGAACTCGTCAAAGATCTCACGTTCTAAGCATTTACGTCTATGCCGGTGTATAAACGAGCGAGTGTAAGACTGCAACACAATTGCTCCATTATTTTCCCTACGCATTTGATTTCGTTTCAGACGTTCCTCGGCAGCTTTGCGAATTATGGTTTCCCTATCGCTCGTCTGGGAGGTACCACCCAAATTTTGAACAGGTCGCCGTCTATATTCCCCATCAAATCCAAACATCACTGTGCTTTCTTGTAATAAATATAGAAATTAAAAAGAACGATTTTCTTAACTCGAAGATATCAAAAACAAGGAAACAGCTCAAGGAATGTCCAATTTTTTTGTTTGCTACTTTCTTTATTCGTTTTACATTTAACGAACTTTTATTTTTTCGCTTTTTTATATAATTCTACCATTCATAGCAAAATTTTCGTGTACTTTTGTTGAATTTACAGTATGACTCTCCAAAATTTTTGATTAGTGAATTATGAGTTTGTGTTTACTTTCGCTCTATTTGTTTCGCGTCAACGTTGCCATACACTTGTTCTTTCTGAGAAAAAATTGGGATTTTAAGTAAATTTACTTAACATGGCCCATCAAGTCAGAAATTTAGTACAATATTCAAATTAATCTTTCAAAATAAAATAATGTTTTTAATTACAATTGTTAGTTGGATCTGAATACCCCTCTTTTCTACCTTCCTTTCATGTATAGAAAAATCCTTTTATACATATCCATGAACTTTTAAATTATTAATTATATCCAATTTTCTTTATATAGATATGGCCACAACTTACATGTTCATATTGTACTTAATTAAATCCAACTTAGACGTCAAAATGCATAAATTATGATTCACATAATAGAAAGGGCACATCAACACCAATAGGTATATATTTTACTCATCAAAATAAAACTTTGTCGGGTTTATGGCGTTATATACTTTAAATAAAACCGAACACATGCAAAATTAATGGAGAATTGACTTCACCCGAAATGGTTGCCACTAAATATTCATTTATTAGGTGTTTCTTTGTGAAGTTGTCTCTTTCTCTCATGTTATCTTCGGTAGCTTATAATTGTTTTAATGAACTTTTAGCACAAATCAAAGATGGTCTTTGCTTTTAACATAAATATCTTCAGTTAAAAGAAAATTTTTTGTATTTTTTTATACAAGCGACTGGGAAATTTTTATTCATATTTTTCTTCGGCCTATCTTAGAAGTAGCAATATTCATATTAGTTTATTTTTTTGTAATAAACCACAAATATTTTAGCAAGGACGGCAAAGATTAGCTACACAATAATTTACTATTTTTACACTGCTGTCGTGGTATTTTTACATTAAACGATTTTTCATCCTTCTCCCTTAACAGTTTTTCAATATTACACATCTCTTTTTCGTCACTAATAATTTCTCGTTGCTGAAGTATTTTACAGTCTTACAGTATTTGTTAAACTGTTCTCAGTGTTTCACAAATAATTCGACATTACAATTTTTTACGGATTTCATTAGAGATAATTTAATTTTCCTTTCTCGAAATTTCTCGGCATGCAATTCACAAGCTTTTTTTCCCTCAACAATTTCTTTTAATCCCATCGTCAGCTATTGCCACTACCAAAAAAACCCAGCAGAACAAAATCACCGAATGCTACGTTAAGGAAAATCTCTTCTTGTCAAACTCTTTTTCGAGCGCGAGCTTAACAATTCAAGTGGTGTAGAATTGAGTCCCTAGCAAAAATTGTTAAGCTAAGCCATACGTTATTGTAGTGACTATCCGAAATTTCAAGAATCTGAAAGGTTCAACCCTTTTTTTTTGGATTTTTACTAGGTGATTATAAAGAGAAAAACACGAACGGTTCGCTAACAGGAGCGGTTTCAACATAAGCTGAAATATCGGAAATGGTTAGGTGGATGTACGTTTTCTCGATCTAAGGGTGGATTTTTTTGTTCCAGCAGTCGTCGTAGGCGGAAATAGTAATTTCGTTCTACAAAAAAGCGAAATATGCAAACCAAATAATTAGTATTAATTTATCTTTTTCGATGTAGCGTTCGACGAATGTCTCTGCAGTAAACGTTTCCAGCATTCGAAGTGCTATTGCAAGCTGCGCTATGCGTAAATCGAAAAGTTTTTTAAGACGATGGAGACAAACGTATTTACTAATACAATTTATACTCGGTAAAGACAGAGCAGTCACGCATGGAATTTGACTCTGGAAACTTTCAATTGTTCCTTGTCACTAATGTTAACCAATGTCCAATGTGGCCACCCCATGGTTTGCCTTTCGTATACGAACTTATGTGACTTGAGAACATCCCTTTTTTGAAAGATTTGGTAGTGTCATGGAGCACGAGTCCACTTGATTGGCTAGATTTGATAAAAATATATTTTTTCTTCAGCGAGTCGGAAAAAAATGACCTGTCGAGTTGAGTAAAAAAGGGTCAATGTGAATAAGAGATTCTTTGATTGAACATTAATAAAGTTGTCTGATAGCTTGATTGCAAATGTACATAGATGTATACATATATATTACACGTGTTATTACATCCGTCACATATCTGTGTTCATATTGATCTCTCCTTACTTTCAATTAATTTTCTTGTTTTATTTTACTATTTCGACTTTTGAAGCGAAATATTCTGGGATTTTCTATTCCTTCTGCGAGTCAATATATCAGCAAACAGCAGGATAATTATCATTGATACCAAAAACCGAGTGATAATTAAAATGAAAGGTATACATAGCAGGAAAAAGTTTCAAAAAATTTAAAAAACGTCTGAGACCTAAAAGGAGAAAATAAGCGAAAATAAATAATGTTAAAATCAAGCAAAACTAAATTCCTCAGTTCACTTCATGAAAGTCAACTCTAATCGTGTGACCACTTACAAATGATAATAACACGTTGGGAGAAGCTATGCTTTGTTTTTTGCAAGAATCGACATTTCTCATTTTGCACATTTTGAAGAAATTAGTTAAACTTTTAGAAGGGTGTAAAGCGAAACTTAATAAAACCTGCACATCCACGGCGTCCCAGTTTTAGTAGCTAAGAAAACTTTTGCCTTATCACTCTGATTTATGACATTGTATGTAGAAATTTTGTCTTTTCAAATATTAATTAATTTACATAAACAATTGTTTTGTCAAAAAATTCTCGAAAAGTTCTATTTTCTACTTCTTACGCGTCTTAATATGTATCAAATTTTCGATATCAATCAATAACGATTTTTTTTCTCATCGTCAATTCGATTAATTGTTTCTTTCTCTCTCTTATTGTCACATACTTAAATCTTTTTAACACAACTTAAACACGTATTTTGTATTATTATTGCTGTGCTAAATCCAAACTGTTATCATCTTTTTCATTTCCAACCATTTGGTTGCGTGCAGGTTTATTTTAATTATGTGAACACACCTTCGCAATCGTTTTCTCAGCAAGAACTCTACAATTTATTCTCCGTGCAATCATGATGCTGCTATTATGTCTAAAGCGATTCCTCAATCCAACACCTCTTTTAAACGAAAGCACAAAGTTTACTTAAATTATGCGCTATCATTTAATTTTTTTATTTTTTTTGGATTGTTGAGTGGAGGTATTGGACTAAGCCAACAAATCTCTTTAAATTCATCATCTAGTTGTTGAAAGATGTGCTTGCGAATTGCGCTTATTGCTTCATTTCGAGGGTATTCTGTTAAATAAGGATAAGTGGTCGAAAAAAACTGAATAAATTCTAGAGAATGGAATAAACCCTCCAACTTCAAATGCAAAACCATAAAAACACCCACTAATTATACTTGTAAAGTTAAAATCATAAAAACACACACTAACTATGCCTATTCTTGTAAAGTTAAAATCTCAAAACACACACTAACTTCTAAACACTAAAATCATAAAAACACACACTAATTATACCTATGCTTGTAAAGAGAAAAATCTTAAAATATGCCTATACCTTGTAAAGATAAAATATCATAAAAACACACACTAATTATACCTATACTTGTAAAGAAAAAAATCTCAAAATATTCCTATACCTTGTAAAGATAAAATATCATAAAAACACACTAAATACGCCCATACTTGTATACAGAGAAAATGTATAGACACATATTGCACAGGCCTACGCTAGTTAATCCATAGGAACACACACTAGCAGCAACAAACGAAGGGTAAAGAGAATGAAGAAAACATGTATGGAACGGCGCCAAGGCATAGAATATGTAAAATATATAATACAGGCACGAGCAAATAGGTATAAGATCGGTAAAATGAATAAAACTTGTATGAAATGGCTCGTAGGCATAGAACATGTAAAATCATACAAAGCCCTAGACGAACTTAGGCACAAAACCATAGGTAATATTTACACAACCGCCGAAGCGCAGAATATGTATGAATAAGATCTGTCCGACACAACCCAAAGCCATAGAATTTGTGAGTCATATAACTCAAACCCAAGTCAAACATAGGTATAAAACCATATGAAATAAGTACAACATATACAAGAAGAAATCTGTATGCCTTAAAATTATATAAGCAAACTGTAGAAACGCGTACATATTACGCATTACGGTATAAACCCCGTTAGGTTGTTTAAGCATATAGAAACCCTTGTGCTTGGCAATACACAAGCACACTCGCTCATGCAAACGCACATACCAAAGAATCACACATAACATTTGACCTTACAGTACTATACTGTAAGGTCATAGTAACATACAGAAATCTGTATTCGTTAAAATTGTATAAGCAAACGACAGAAACGCTTACATATTACGCAGTACTGTATAAATCCCGCTAGGTCATTTAAGCATGTAGAAACCCTTATGCTTCGCAATGCAGAAGCACACTCGCTCATGCAAACGCACATACCAAAGAATCACACATAGCATTCTATAGTACTGTTAGGTCATAGTAACATACAGAAATCTGTATGCCTTA